CATTGATAACCCTAGCGGGGGAACAATATGAATCAACGAAATGAAGAAAAGACAAAAAACCATATGAAAGTTAATGTAATTGAATTATTTTAGTATCAAATTGCATCGAATAATATTATTTTTCATTATTTCAAGAAATTTTTACACATTTTTTTCGGTTTTCTTTTATCGACGCATTTTTGACAGCCAATTCCCCATTTTTGGGGGGTCAATTCCCCACTTTTGTCAGCCAATTTCCCCATTTTTGACACCCAAATTTTACCATTTTTGACAACCAAATGCACCATTTTGACAGCCATTTCCCCATTTTTGACAACCAAACGCACCATTTTTGACAGCCAATTCCCCATTTTTGACAACCAAACGCGCCATTTTTGACAGCCAATTCCCCATTCTTATACACCAAAACCATTTTACCTTAAAAATTTCATGTGGGGTGGCCAAATTGACCGTTGGCCGCACACATAACGGCCATTTTTTCGAAAAAGACTGCATATGTTCTCTTGAAAATTTCATTAATTTAAGCCCCAAGTCGAAGATAAAAAAAATATGCATATCACACACCACAGAAAACATGGGCGTCCGCAACGGCCGCTGCACGTACCTGCGCCCATGTCCTCGATTAAAAAAAATTAATAAAAAATAAACAATACATTTTACTTCCAGCCAGGGACTATTTTAAGCTGATCCAGTTGTTAAATTTTTATAAAATTAATGAAATCTTTGAAAAATCGAGGATAATTTCGATTTAATAGAAAATGTCGATTCAATTGTAAAATATGTATATAATTATTTAAAACCTACAAACAATTCTGCTCGCTTCGCTCACACTTTTTTTACTTCCCTGTACAGTTGGGATTAATAACATCAGACTAGTAAGATAGTTATTACTTATTACTAATAATTTCTAATAACTGGTAATAAGATGTCATCTTATTAGTGTAATAAGTATAGTTATTAGAATGTTACTAGTCAGAAGACTAATAAGATGCATGTATCTTATTAGTATAGTTATTAGTATAGTTTCTCATCAGTATATTTCGATTGGTGTTACTGGAAGCAGATTCTACTGAAAACACGAAAAACAGCAGAAAGGCAGTCAAAATCACAAAAAAACTCCCGGTCGATTTTTCTCGCATTTCCGATGGGAAATCGGCAAAAAAATCCTGTATAAAATTACTCGAATAATATATAAATATGGAATTACATTTTGGAAGTTCTAGGAACCAGGCCAAATCCTGAAAGTCCACCAATCAGCCAAATTCCACCGGATTTGGATTTTAGGCCAAAAAGTAAAAATAGATTTTTACCATCAAAAAATGTTTCAAATAATTGTTTAGCACGTTTAACTAACATTATATCCATTTTAAGTTTGAGTATGATGAGCGTACATCAAGAGATGGTAAACAAAAACAAACAGGAAGTGAAAGAAGAAGTGTTAAACAGATTTGCTTCTGATTCAAGATGATTAGTTTTTTTCGAAAAATTAAAATGTCCACGATTTTTATTGCTCTCGCACCTCCCTGATCAAATTCCTGCGGACGCCCCTGACAGAAAAAAACCACTTTTCCCCATTATGAACCACACTGTATGTTTTGCACCGTGAAATCGATGATAACCAATAAATCGAATTCAAACAAATAATTTGTTACAAATTATTTTAAGTATTGTTTCAGTATTCTAATTGGGGATTTTTTCTATATATTCGGGATTAGAATTTAATCCTTTTGGATTTTTTATTAAAAAGTCGAAAAAGCTTTATTTCTAATTCCTTAAGTTTTACAGTGAAGAATTTAAAAAAATAAGAAAAAAGACATAACAAAATCAAATTATTTGCATCGATTGTGCAATTCAAATTGTTTCGTTGCATTCGTTGTCGATGCTTAAATTTAAAACACATTCGTATTCAACTAAAAAGCTACACAAGCAACAGAGGTAGAATGGTAAGAGTAAATTAACCTATATAGGTCTCTAGAAGGATAATGCGGGTAAATTGGATGCGTGGTTGTAGGGACAAGGTAGTAGATTTGATGGATTATGAAATGAGCATTCTGTAACTGACCTGTGTGTATGCGTCTGTGGATATTCAATGTTGATCTTTGCGAAAATCGCTTTGAACAAATCTCACATTCAAATGGGCGTTCGCCAGTATGTGTGCGCTGATGAATATCTAAATACGGCTTGCGACAAAAGGCGGCCGGACACAGATCACAGCGAAATGGTCGATTTCCAACTGCTCTCGTTGCGAATAGATTTTATTTTATAATAGTGCGTTTGCGATTTGTGCAATGATGGCGATAATTATGGTTAAAAGGTTGGTTTATTTATTTATTTTTTTAACATTTTTTCGTTTTATTCGTTTTGATAGTGATTTCAAAATAATATGGTAAATAATGTTTGAAAATAGCATTTTGTAAAAGTATTTGAGTGTTTTAATGTAACATTATTTGTTTGTTTAATTTCATGATGTTGATTAAATTGATGATTTACATGAATGTGATTCGATTACGTAAAATGTCCAAGTCAGCAATAATCAAATACAGCCATAACAAAAAGAATATAAGAGAAAAAATACTTATTTTAGTATTTATGTAATGCCTTCAAATGAGTTTAAAAATAATCATCATTCCAATACCATATAATTTTAAGTTGAAAACTTTAGTACCACGAAATACCGAAAAAGCAAAATTTATTTTACACATTTTTCACTGAAAAAAATGTGAATAAATATACCGGCTCCAAAAAAGCCGTTTCCGTTTCTTTTGTTTATAATTTGATTAATGTGAGTTAGTAAAATATCTGATAACTCCACATAAAAACATTCAGTAAAATATCGCTTAAGACGACAAAAAAATACAATTTATAACTAGTTAATAATACAGCCGCTTATAATACAGGGTGGTCCATAAATACATCTCAATATTCCTACCACAGATTCCTCGGCTAATGAGGAGTAAAAAAGTATATTGGCACTTTTTCCGAATCGGTTGTTTTAGTAGGATTACAGCCAAAAAACAGGGTCAAAATTTCCTATGTTCTGATTGATTTCCACGGACGGTCACGTCGTTAGTGTTTTTCAAAAGGCAATTGTGATTATAGTCTTGTTGGAAAGGTCTCTCTTGAAAATACCACGAAAAAATTTCGAAAAAAGTTTCAGTGAGACGGTCAAAGTTGGTTGACTAAAAGTGAAAAAAATAATCGAACATTGTGAACAATCAGAACATAGGAAATATTTGGCCTAAGGCTGTAACCCTACTAGAACAGTGATTTTGAAAAGGTTCCCATACACTTTTTTACTCCTCATGAGCAGGGGAATCTGTGGTAGGAATAATGGACCACCCTGTATTAAGTTGAACAGTTTCGATTTCCAAAAATAAAAGTTTTTCGACTTAATGGAACATCATAGCGACTGTACATAGTGAATAATAGTAGTTTTAAAAGAGACTGACCGGTATGTATGGTTTTGTGGATGTTAAGCGATGACTTTTGTGTGAAACGTTTCAAGCACACGTCACATTCGAAGGGTCGTTCGCCCGTATGCGTTCGCTAAATGGTTTAAATTAGAAAAATATAAACACATATATAAAGAAAATTAGAAACGAAACAGATGTATGTGTAATTGCATATAATTTTAAAGAAAGTAAATAGAAATAGTCTTTATTGTTTTTCTGGAACGGGACATACCATATGTATATCGAGATAAGGTTTCCGCGCAAACGCAGCTGGGCACTGTTCACATTGAAAAGGCCGTTCCTGAACTGTTCCACGTCCAATACCATACAAAACAATAATTTATTGTAAATTTCTCTTGTTTCATTAATAATTGATTAAACTAATCCTATAAATTTCGTTTAATGCATTTTTGATGAGAAAAATGAATGTAGATGTGAAATAAATAATTTTTTAATCGTTTTTGAAACCAAATTGTTCGATCAAATATGAGAGCAATGGTAAGAGCTATTTGAAAAATAGAAGAAATGTGGGAAATTCATTCATATCCACACTAGGGTGCATCGATTTGTGGCAGCCTAACTGCAAGCTAGTTTTAATATTTGCTCATGCACAGTCTTGCCATATGCAACGACTTAAAATAGACACTTTCTGTCAAACGTAGAAGTGCGGCGAATACACAAACGAGTTTGTGACAATGAACAATTAACTCACTGACCGTCGTACAAGTAACATCTCCGACTGAATTCGCACGCTACTCACCGTACAAAATTGTAATCAACCACGACCCGAATTTAATAATTAAAATTTATACTTTTATTATTTTATTTAAAAAGTGGTGTTTTCATTTATTCTATTTAAACAACCCACAGATTTTTTATTTTTGAAAATGTAGAAAACCCTTAGTGCGGATTTTGTATGCCTGGTTCAGAGTAACAACTTTTGTTCTGGCTCTTTGGCCGACACCCTCCTCATTTTCACCCCGCTCGATTTAAAGTTCGGAATTTTTCGAATGAATTTTTTTCAATAAATTTGTATGAAAGTGAATTGGTTTTAGTATGGTAGTAGATTAGGGTGGCCCAAAAAAAAGTATTTAATTTTTAACATTCCAGGCCGACTTTAGCATATTTGAGGCCTAAAAACACGATGTGGACCATTGGTTTGTTCAAGTAGGGAACCATGGCGCTACAAATTCATTGGGAAGATATCTCGATGGACCCATTTTGGTGTATTTTAAACGATTTTTATTTCCCAAAAAAATTATGAAAAAAATACGTAGTGGGGAGTTTTTGGGTGCGAGAAAACCGAATCTGGCGTTATTATTGTGATACGAATTTGAAGCAATTTTAAAGTCAAGAAAAAATGTATTTCCACTCTCAAAAATACGTAGTGGGAAGTTTTTCGGTACGATAAAACCGACTATGATGTTAGTTTCATGATACAATAAATTTTTGATATAGTTTTCATACAAAAATCTGAAAAAATCACCAAAAATGTGGATTTTGTATGGGAGATATACCTGTATGAAAACGCAATGACGTGAAACTTTGCGCAGCTTTCTTTTTCCAAAAAAAAAATGATATTCTGAGAGTTTGAAGAAATTTGAATCAAAACTAGGCACACTTCCCTTGCTAAATTTTCGTTTTTAAAAAAAAAATGTATGGGAGGTATCCTTGTTTTTTGCTCAATTGTCTTCAAACTCTCAGAATGTTATTTTCTTGTGAAAATAATAGCCTGTGCAAAGTTTCACGTCATTACGATGTCATACAGGCTTAGCTCCCATACAAAAGTTCATATTTTTGGTGATTTTTTCACATTTTTGTATGAAAAATGTGTTAACCATTGATCGTATCGCAAAAATAACGCCAGATTCGGTTTTCTCGAAATAAAAATCGTTCAAAATGGGTCCATCGAGGTATCTTCCCAATGAATTTGTAACGCCATGGTTCCCTACTTGAACAAACCAATGGTCCACATCGTGTTTTTAGGCCTCAAATATGCTAAAACCGGCCTGGAATGTTAAAAATTAAATACTTTTTTTTGGGCCACCCTATTGTAGATAGTTTTAAAGGAGCGCTGTAAGATATGCCCATCACAAAAATTCACTTTTGATTTTTTAGGAAAAAAATTGCAACGAAATATTTTTTCGCCCATCGATTTTCAAAAAAGTCATCCAAAACATATGCTTCCGTCAAAATTTTTGCTCAAAATTCATGAATTTTTGAATTCCGCATGCCACAAAACTTTTTCGTGCTAACTTATCTTGAGAACTCATTCGTCAATCAGAGCATTTCAATCGTCAATCAGGGTTTCATACAAAATCTGAAAGTTTTCTCTTAAATTTTCACACATCGACTTGAAATTTTACACGGAGCTGGGATTTGATGAAAAATGACCAAAGCCAAAAAATAATTTCATTCTGTTGTTGTCTTGTTGACTAGAATTGTGTTTAGTATATGTCAACAAAATGAATTTATATTTTTTCATTCGGAACCATTACACTAAACACATCCTGTTTATATTCTGGTATTAACTAGTGATTATGATGTACCTTTAGTCACGTATTCATAATTTTCATTTTTGTCACTTTTTGCACTTTGTTACTCCTTCAAAATGTGATCCTAGCAAAATATTGCCCTGGAAATTATATTTTTGTCAAATTTTCTAATTTTTTTTGTGTATTTTGGCGTTAATTTATTTTAAAATACAATATGACAACCTTCTTTTTTATTTTCTGATCGAATAGGTGTTGTTAAATTTGAAAATTTAGTTGAAGTTATTTAAGTTGGCCAAAATTACAATTTTTTTAGCCAAATTGTTATTTTTTATCAGTTTGAGGTGAAAAATGTCCGTGATCTTGACTAAATAAAAATTGAAATCTTTTTAATCATGTAAATCTTGGGGATTTATATTCATTTTGGGTCAAAAAATTCTCAAACTACGTAAAATTTCTATAGAGACGTCCAAAAATATCTATAGAAAATCCATCGTGGAGACGTTATATTGTATTTTAAAACAAATTAACGTCAATATACACAAAAAAAATTTAGAAAATTTGACAAAAATATTATTTCCAGCATACGTTCTCAGCAGGGGTCCGAGGGGTCCGATTACCCCCCTCCCCTGACGAAGTGTTACCCCTTCAAAATTTCCAAAGAATTCTTTCAATTTTTGGATTTTGGCCAAAAAAGTGATGATCTCTTCTTTTTTTGCTTTTCATTTTTGGCGTGTACTAAAATTCTTTCAATTTGCTTTTTCACCAAAAAAGTTTTTTGTATGCCAAATAAATGTAATTAAATTCTTTTCGATATGACTAGATTTCAAATTTCACACAAATTATAATTCCATGCAAAATCCATTTGATGTAAATAAAATAATTCCAAGCAATTTGGCCATCATAATCTAATCCTTGAACTATATTATAGTACAGATATTTTTAGTAAGTTCATCGAATTGGTAGTTAACTATTCTACTAATTGGTATCTAATTGGGAGTAAACCCTTAAGAAAAATATCTTTCCTCAATCGAATGATAAAAGTGAGTGAAAGATTGATTTTTTAAAATATACCAAATATATACCAAGTGATTAAACAAATTCAGTTTATTTATCAAGAGAAATAATATTTTTCCTTTTCAAATTCAGATTTTACGTAGGCTGCTACTTATATATTGAGAATAGCAAACACAGATAAACATTATTATTGAAAATGACTTAATTGTTTTTCAAAATACTCTCCGTGATGATCGATACACTTTTGCATTCGATGAAACCATTTGTCATATTATTCATGCCACTCCGAAACTGATATCTCCAAAAATGTGTTTTGAACGCATCAACTGCTTCTTCGGGCGTCAAAAAACTTTGACCACGTAGTTTTTTCTTCACGCTCGGGAACAAAAAGAAGTCATTGGGTGCCAAATCAGGACTGTACTGCGGATGACCCATCAGTTCGATGTTTTGACTGGTCAAAAATTGAGTTGTTAGATTAGATGTGTGAGAGCTCGCATTATCGTGATGAAGAATTACTCTGCGCCAGCGGTTGTTTTTTCTTAATTCACCAAACACTTTTGGCAAACAACAACACTTTTGGCAAACATTGGTGGTGTACCAATCAGAATTGACCGTTCTACGATCCTCTAGTGGAACGGTTGCCACATGTCCACTTATCGCGAAAAAACAGGCGACCATTTGCTTTGCAACACTTCGAGCTTGAACAACTTTTGTTGGGTTATCTTCATTTTGAAAGACCCATACAGTCGACTGCTGTTTTGTTTCTGGCTCATACGCATAGATCCATGATTCGTCACCTGTCACGATTTTATACACTAAATTTGATGCACCTCGATTGAATTTATTGAGCATTTCTTTACACCAATTCACACGAGCAATTTTTTGCTCATCGGTCAATTTATGCGGGATCCAACGCGAGCAAATTTTTTTTACGGCCAAATGTTCATGTTAAATCGTGTATATGCTTTTAACGGAAATGCCTCAATCTCACGGTATGTCACATGACGATCTTCCATTATCATGTTTCTGACAGCATCGATGTTTTGTGGAACAACAACTGATTTTGGACGACCTTCATGGGGATCGTCTTTGAGCGAACGCCGGCCACGATTGAATTCAGTAAACCAGCGATATACAGTGGCCTTGGATGGAGCTTCATCACCAAAAGTTGAATGGATTTCATCGACGCACTGTTGTTGAGATAATACTCGTCGAAAGTTGTAAAAAATTATCGCACGGAAATTTTCACGTGATAATTTCATTTTTTTGTTGAGACGCAATTTAGATGTTACTGTAAACAATACAAATAGCGATCGTATGACAAAACGTTCTGGGGATATTTATGCTAAAAAATGTCAATCTTAACGAATATGACAATGGTTTGCATCTAGCAACGTCGGTGTTGCCAATTCTCAATATATAAGTAACAGCCCTCGTATTTAATCCACTTTCCAATGTTCATTTTAAATGGTCTTTAAACAAACAATGGAAGAAAATTACCACAAATTACCGCTTGCTTTTCGATGAACTGTGGAGCAAGCATGTCCTGAATTTCTTCGTCCAGAAAATTGGCCAGCTCGCGAGGGCATGGGGAACGCATTCAATCATCTCATCACTCAGTACATAACAAACGTGAAAAATAACATCAGAGTATGGGCATTCAGTCGCATCAAGAAATTTTTCACGCTAAAGCGCTATGAACTGAATTTGAATCGACATATAGATGTGCCAAATCCGATATGTTAATACATTTTGTATTATGATAATATTTATTAGGATGCTATTAACTATAAACAACCAATCATACTACGCATATTAACATGAGTAGTAGTA